GGCAGAAGCAACCCACATCCCCAAGTTATGGGTCACTGGTTAGAAGAGAGCCATGGAGCCTACCCTGAACTGTGATATGAGAGAGAATTGAACTTCTGGATGGTAAGCCACTGACCACTGATGGTTGGAGCTCAGATCAACCCCGAAAAAAACAGAGGAATTGCTACTTCAATCAGGAGTTGCCATTAAAAACCAGAAACATGGTTTTCTAGACATTTGATAGCAGGCAGAAAGGGAAGAGAATTTCTCAGGTTGAAAAAATATATAGATTCATGTTTTAAAAGTATCAGAGCTGTCAAGTGCCGCCTGCTGAAACTGTAGCACCAAGGAGGAAATTTGAAAAATACATATAAGTAGTGTGTTGGTTGTTTTTTGTCCACATTTCTCAAGGTATTGCGGCAAGGAAAATAGCTCAGGCAAGAATTGGCTCTTCTCCAAATAAAAAGGTAAGAGAATAAAGTTCATAGACTTCAAAACTTAAACTGGTGGAAAAGTAATGTGTTTCTAGGCTCCAAAAAGTAAGAAAAGATATTTAAGAATTTTAAAATTCACTGATTAAAATCCAGGACAACTAGTTGGTCAAAGTGATGCAGGGCCACAATCAGGAAGAAGCCTTACCACTTCAACGTTGCCACTTCAAGCTTTCTCATTAAAGAGAGGGGGTGGGGGGAAGGCATAATTTGAGAAGTACATCGAGAAATTCGAACAGTGGCATGCAGAATTGATTGAGTACAAAGACTTAAGAAGCTCTTAAAGATATCAAAGGTGAGTGATAAAGGTATAATTAGTGAGCCTGAATAGATAGGTACATAGGTGATAGATTAGATAGATAGATAGATCCATGGACAATTCAAAATACAAACAAACTTCAAGCCTCGAATTACCACAAGCAGCCCACAAAGGCTACAGGGCCTCAAGAAGAGCAAGTATTACTTCATCACTTCTGATGGAAGCCCAAAGGGAGAATGAAAAATGAGGGGCCTTTTCAGGACAAGCCTGAGCCAGGATCAAAGGATAGATGGGTGAGCAGAACCAAGCCGAAATAAGGAGGGGAGACTTCCGTCTGCCTGAAGGGTTGTAGGATTGCTACAAGGCACTGGACATTAGTATTTACCACCTTCCCCTCCATGTATGAGGGTACTGATTACAAAATGCTCTCTTTTAAAAACTTTATACACGTTCTTTATATGACCTGTCCTTTTAGTGCCCTGGTCACTGAACAAGGTGGATCCACAGCTTCATGGAACAGAGAGGATCTGTACATACAGGGTGATGTACAGGGTGGGGAGATGCTCTGCATTTCAGATGATGTAATGATTAATGGTACTTTGAGCTGTCTGTCCCAGTGATGGACTAATTATGTTTTCTCCACAGATATAAGCCAAGAACAGACTGTGACAAACCATTAGCCCTCAGCAAATACTAGTGTGCTTCTCTTCCTTTCTGTCCCACCGGCAGTCACACTGGAGGCATAAGAGGAGTTAAGGTCAGTGACAAGCAGAGGTAATGCAAGCTACATCCATGCCTTTCATTCCTATTTTAAAACATCTCTGTACCCAGTGAACTTGGAAGCCATTGTCCAAGGATTCACTGTAGAGTCCATGAAGCCTGTTTCTGAGTCACTCTTTAGAAAAAGCACCATGGACAAGCTCTCCCCATAGCTGGCCGCCACACAAACCAAAATGGAAACGTGTTGCAATGAATTTACTGGAATTGTTGCTATTGATGTTGAAGGGTAGCCCAGCCTGAGCTACATAGTGAGTTCAAGATCAGCCTGAACTACGTAGCAAGACTCTGACTCAAAAACAAACATCAAAAAAGGAATTAAAATGGACTTAATTAAAGGAAACCATTAGTGATGAAAGAAAGGGACGGGCAAAGAAAGGGAGAAAATGACCAAGGTAAGATATACACATGTGTAAATATCCTAAATGAAACTAATCCTTGACTAAATATGCACTCATAAAAAATAAAATGTAAAGAAATAAATGTTAAAAGAAAATAAAATAGTTAATTATGATACCTACTCCTTGGGTTGGTTGGAAGGATTAACTAAGCCAACCCATAAAACTCGCTATTTGCTCAATACATGGTTGGAATATTTATACTAACATAAAACTTGGGACAAATTTCCTCCAAAAGTGACAAGAAACTGCAGGTACTGTCTCAGTGGTCCTTACAAAAGAGAAGAATTGGAACTTACTTGGTCCTGCTTCGCAAAAGGGAAAACAGAGGCAAGATTTACAAGGCAGGAAAGATTTTATATTACAAGTAGTTAAGAGAAATAGGCTCCAGGCTCAGGTCTGACTAAATCACCAAGCAGCCTATAGGATTCTGTCATTTATCTTCAAGCTATCACTGAGGAAAAATTAAATAAACCATCCAGCTTCACTTGTTTTCAGTTGACTTTTTAAAATGACTAAATTTGGAAATCACACAGTTGGGCAATACATTATTAGTCTCCCAGATTTTCTGTAGACATCTCTGACAAAAGCCACCTAAAGGGTTGAAAACTGTTTTCCAGTGAACATTATCTTCCCCCAGTCCTCTGAAGAAAACTAGCCTTTTATATAATCAAGCATCTCTAGGGCAAGAAACGATAAGGAACCTGAGTCAAGAAACTCTATTAATTGGTCATTTTGCTTCATATTTACGGAAACTGAAACATCCAGTCATCTGCAGATAACAGCAGTTTGTAAATCCGAAAAGCAGACCATGACCACGCAAAATGTGACTAACGTGGAATCTGGAACTCCTCTGAATGCCTGCTTATCTGACATGCTTCCCCCAGATTCTCCCTAGAGGCCTTGTACCTGCAACCCCTTAGCAAGATGGCCTCTGTTGGAGAAAGCCTCCCTTGTCTTTGGTTTGCTAGCTTTCCAAATCAGTATTTTTTCTGGCCCCAACACCTTGTCCTCAAGTCACTGGCCTTTTCTAGTGGCAAGCAACAAACATGAGGTCATAGTTACAATAAGCTTCGGCCTTCCATTCTTTTTTTAAAGAGAAAATTGGAATAAAATAAATGTCTATGTCTCCTCCAAAATTTATCTATAATTCTACCACAGCAAAGAAAATCTGGTGCAAGCAAAGCAAAGCAAGAAGCCATGAATCCTTCCCAGCTAATCATTCACTATTCCTTGGAAACAATTAAGCCAGTGTTTTCTCATTGGTGGACCCCCTTCCTACCCATCTTTCAGAGTTTTTTATGACCAGTGTCCACTCATTCATCAGGCAACAGCAAGTCATAAGCAAGTGAGGGATCCATTCTTGGTCACTGCTAAATGAGAAATCTCCAAAGAAGACAGAAGAGAAGAAAGCCAGTGTCCCTGCTCCCACTTGCTAGAGACAGCCAGGCAGCTGGCTAGAACAGCTGCTGAGTTGGACATCTCAGGATCTATTTTATTTTATCCCACTGAGGTTTCTGGAGACCACATGAAACTCCAAAGCTTGGAAAGAAAAACACAAAGCTGAAAAGTCATTTGTGGATAAGGCCTTGTAAACTCTAAATTAACAAGGAATTTTTCCTGCTAAGGCACATGATCACTTATCAGCCAAGAATCAATGAGGTCAAGAACATTCCAAACATTTGTATTGAGATAATTTCTAAGAGCTTACACCCCTCACTTGTACAATTTAGGCATAAATGGAAGCCAAGGGCTGACTTTACTTGGAGGCAGTGGAAATTTTGGAAGAATGAGTGGGAGAAATCCCAGCCTCTTTGCAGCATCCCCTAGTCCACAAATTCAGCCCCATTCTTAATAATAAAAACTATTAACTTCTAATTGCCTAGCTTCTACAGAGATTCAGTCACTCTCCTGAGACATGTGTATATCAACCCATTTAACTCACATGACAGTCTCCTAGGATGAGTATGATTGCCATCCCCAGTGATCCATGACATTAAATGGCATCAAATTTGATCAATGGATCAAACTTGTCAGTGGCAGAGCCATCATCCAAACTCAGGAATCCTGGATCCAGTTTCCCTACTAGACCTTCTCACCTGGAACTGAACAGCAAAGAACAGACATGACAAGGTGCTTTTGTAGGCCAGTTATTCTGGATAGGAGCATAGAGACTTTGTAAACCAGCAAGCGCGTTCTCTAAGCCTGTACTTATGGCAGAAATCACCAGTCAAGCACAATAAAGTCTTCTCCTAACCCAAGGAGAATCTTCAGAGTCCTTCTGAACCCACCGTTCTATGCCATCTTATAAATCAATCAATTTGACATGGACATGTGGCTGTAAAAGCCAAGAAACAACTACAAAGTGTCTCCCAGGTAGTATCTGAGGCCATAACATGCCTTAAATGTGCTGCCGCCCCTTGTACCCTTTCCTACACAAAAGGAGACATGTCACTTGTCAATTTTATGTTTTTAAGCCATCAGATACCTCATCCTATATGTGCTTTAGGGGTAAGGGTAAACTGGAAGGCTGATGTTTCAGATGTGACCCTTGAATTCTTGGCATGTACGGGAGTGGGGTGGTAGGCATCTATTTTGCTGCAAACAGAATCACCCCACTCTAGTATTATTTAATGCCTAGGAGCTCGCTTCTGTTTGCAGAAGAATTTCAGCAGCTAATCAGATAGCTTTAAAATTCACAAGAATTCGAGATCAGCAGGGCTAAAATGTTGTTTTCACTTGATTAGGTTATAGGGCAAAGGCTTTCCTGTGCTAGCCTTTCTGAGTCACAGAGACCTAACAGAGTTCAGAGCTGCTGAGCAGTCTCTGCATGTGGGTGGGATCCTAGAAGAAGTTTTAGGGGTCCTTCCTGGCCTACAAGACCCTGAAAACCACCAGATGTACACAAATACCAAGTGTATGTCAGTGTGTTCCCCCAAGCTCTGTTTCTTTGCTTCTTTGTCCCACTTCAGAAATTTGTTTACATTTCATAATCACATATTTCCTTCTCCTCCGCTCCACATCCCAGGACAGATGAGACAGGTGCCAAGTCACACGCATGAGTTTGCCTCTCTTCTGCCTTTCCAAGAGCTAAAATGTGGCAGGAGTTCAAGATCCCCTCGTCATGAGTTGATCTCGACCCTTCTTGACCAAGGATTCCCTGGAAGCTTCCCACCCATTCTCTCCCTATAAAGGCAGGCTGAACAGCCAGAAATAGCAGAGAGGCTGAGAACTATCCAGGAACTATCTGCTGTCAGTCTGAAACCCATCTGCACACTCCAATATGAAGGACTCCGTGTTGTTTCTGTGCCTGCTGCTCACAGCCACCACTTTCAGTCCCCAGGCGCTTGCTCAGCCAGGTAAGGCCCTCCTTCCTTAAGGGAAACTACTTATCTCCAGAATCATCAGGTTAGCATGAATATTCAGAGAAAATCTTGTATTTGAAAGATTGAAAAACAGGTCTCTAACTGGATGAGCTAGGGTCTGGACATCACTGGTTTTCTCTCTCTCTCTCTCTCTCTGTCTCTCTCTGTCTCTCTCTCTCTCTGTCTCTCTCTCTCTGTGTCTCTCTCTGTCTTTCTCTCTCTCTCTGTCTCTCTCTCTCTGTCTCTCTCTCTCTCTCTCTCTCTCTCTCTCTCTCAGTTAGGCATAACATGGTGGGTAGTTTTGACAGTGGTGAAGGGGGAAAATCTGTTGCTTGGAGATCCCAAAATTTTGCCAAACTCCAAGACAGCCTTCAATGCAGTAATTAGAATGGAAGGGTCTCAGGACATTGTGTCCAGGGAACTGATTTTGACTCTATTGGGGAATATTTGGGTGCTTGTACTGTAATTCACTTTCCCATCTTCTGATGATGTATATTTACTGAGTATATCAGTCCCTATAAGCTAAAAAGCATGCTACAGCAGTAATCCTAATTACCAACTGGCTATCACAATTAATTAAATTAATTAAGGGCCATTTTCTTGCTTATACCCAATGTCTATAATGCATGAACTCAAGCTACTGCACTACATACTCGGGGCTTTAGACTTGCTACTGTACATAGGTAACACACACTGGTTCAGAAATGACATATGCCACTTCATCTTCTCTTATTGGTCAAAACTAGTGAATGGCTCCAGCCAATCAAAAGTGGTCAAAAAGTGCCAGCCTACCTTGAATCCAGAAAGCATTTGAGAGTATTTGGTGAACACTACTGTGACCATCACTGAGCCATACAGCCCCTCATAATGACAGAGTGGGAATGCATGGCACTGAGCAAGCTTTTTCTATATCCTCATTAGAGGTGAGAGATTCCTATTGTACGCACAGATGAAAAGGGCACAGGCAGAGGACTTCATGATGGGCAGGTTCTACTTCTACGGCTTACAGGTCCTGACCTTCTCCTAACTTCCTCCTTCCCTTCTGAAGTCAAGCTCGGAGCTATCTGCATACCATGAGTGGCTCTTTCTAATCATTTTCTCCCCTAAATACAGGTATGGTCCCGAATACCTGCTGCTTTTCTTTGACCAGTAAGAAGATCCCCATGCAGAGACTAGAGAGCTACAGAGTAATCGCCAGCAGCAAATGTCCCCAAACAGCTGTGATGTGAGTAAACAAAGCTCACCTTTCCTGGGAACCAAAATCTCATTTCTAGAATGCAATCAGAGTCACTTAGACACAGAGTTACAGGCTCAGACAGTTTGACCTCTATGATCCTACTTGTGGACTCACACAACAGAAAAAGTTTATATGTTTTCTTTGAGTGAAGAAAAATAATGGCTTTATATGGCCATCAAAAGCAGCAGCCAGGGCCAGGGATTTAGCTCAGCGGTTTGGTGGCCTGCCTCGCAAGCGCAAGGACCCGAGTTCTATCCCTGGTACAAAAAAAAAAAAAGCAGCAGCCAACCCTATAGTCCTATCTTTCCTCTGCCCCCTTTTCTCTCTCACAGCAACCCCTTTGCCCTTTCCCCAGAATGTTTAGAGTTGAATAGGCAGAATTTTTAAAGAGAATCCTTTCTAATTAATTTCTTTCATTCCACAGCTTCAAGACCAAACTGAACAAGGAGATATGTGCTGACCCCAAGCAGAAGTGGGTTCAGAACTCTATAAAGTACCTGGAACAAATACCCCAGACGACAAAGCCATAATCACCTTTCTAGAGAATAACAGAGCCTGATAAATGCTTGGTTTATTTTTCCTTCCTAAGATGCATTCTGAAATAATCTCATCATAGGACCTCATGGTGCAACAGAAGCGCGTCTGACTCCATGAAATAATCTCATCATTCCTGAAAAGGATGGGTTTTATTTAATAATTTTTAAAAACTGTATTTGAGTTATTGAAGTCTTTAAATATATATTATGTATATCACTCATTTTTTAAATGTAAAGTTTTGAGAGGATCCCTTGCCCTCTGTGAGCCCCCATCCCTTCCCCTGCCAAGTGTAGGGAAGTGTGACTCTCAGCATCCAGTAAACTCCTTTCTACCTCCCTGTAATCTTGTAAGGGTCCTAGAAAAGATCAACAGTGTGAAAATGCCTGGTAATTTTAGGAGGGCCCAAGGTGTGACTCAAGGTGATGAATAAAAGTAAATGCTGTTTCCAGAATATACGGAATATATATACATATTTTGTTACTGTCTTCAGTTGCAATCTTTGTGAGGAATTCACATTGAGATGGGATAGAGGTAAAGATGGCAGTGGATGAGAGGATTGGGATGGAAGGAGCTGAGTACCTGGCAGATGGCTCTTTGGTGTGGCTCATCTTCACTGAAATTCAAACTAAAACGAACAAGACCAGAAAATGTATTCCAGCCCTTAGATATTGCTCTCATCTGTGATTTCCCAGATTCCAAGTTTTCAGCCACATACTCTCCCGGAGCCTCCCCCACCATTCCCTCCTTCACCCACCTCATGCTTTCCTAAGTCTCTCAGGTCACCTGTTGCAAGAGCCTGTGGCATTTTTCTGCTGATCATCTTTACTGGTCCGTCTTGCAACAGTACAAACGTTGGAAAACCAGAGTGAGGCCACGTTATCATGCACAGGAGGTTTAAGTGAATGCTTCAGAGGCAAGATGGTGAAATATATGGGTGCTCTTCGAAAGGCTGTTCAGTTCAGGTAGAAGAGAGACATTGCTTGAATAAATGCCTAGAAGGGATGGATACGATGCTTATCAAGTTGTGTGGATACCCATCTGAAGGGATCAGGATTAGAGCATATATAGTGTGATGGAGAAACCTGGAAAAAAGGTTTAGGCCAGGCTGTCCAGATGGGAGTTTGTGCTCCCTGCAAAGAGTGAAACTAAGGGGAAAACATAATTCATTTCACCTGACTCAAGATGCTTTCAGAGTAACCAGTAACCTTATGAATAGTTACTTTTGGAGACCAGATATAAACTAATCGCTCCAGGAACACTGGAGCATATAGTCACCATAGTAATAATAGGCATTGATAGTTTTGATTCGTAGGAGTAGAAGATCCAAGATAAGAACTTCAGGAAGAGTAGGGGTTATAGAGTAGATTGGGAATGGAAGGGATGTGTAGTTTTTATACTATTGCAACAGGTACCAAAAAGCATCAGGAGATGGAAATTGAGCACTGATACATGGGGAGGGGAAAAGGTAACTGCAAGAAGAATGAGCCAAGGCAGGGTGAAATGCTGAATGGTCTGGATAGAGAAATAGGAACGGTGGCAAGGAGACTTCCCCAACTCTGCCATTAAAGTGTAGCTTCTTAAACTCAGAAAACTAACTTCCTTCTAACACTACATCCTTATGCCCTAACTGTACAAGCTTGAGAACTTCCCCTCGAGGGGACAGGACTTCTTTTCCTGTATAAGCAACTCCAATTAGGATTCCTTTGTGGCTTATAAATCAAACAGCCTCTCTGTCAGTCACATGCCTAGACACAGAGCCAAGTATGTCCCCAACAGTAGAAACCTTCTGGTGTAACCATGTACACAGTCTGAGGCTTCTGATCTTGGGGAGGTGGACAGACTGCTGTATTATGCTATGTCCACCAGATCACTGTATTGCACAGCTCCATGGGACACCATTCACATCAAACTCTACTGGGACCAAGTTGGCCTTGGCACATGACTAAAAAAAAGCAAGAACTGCTGGAGGTTTAGCTCAGTGGTTCTGCTGCCTGCCTTGCAAGGGCAAGGACCCAAGTTTGATCCCTGGTACAAAAACAAATAAAAAACAAGAACCAAGATACATCATGTAAAAGTACAAGATCCTAGTGATGAATGTAACTGTACTGTAGACCTAAAATGTACCAATAAACTTAATGGGGAAAAAAATGACAACATGTGCTACCAGAAAAGGCATTGATCCGTGAGGCAAGTAACCTCGGCTTTATCCTCAGAACTGATCTCTCTCTCCCTGTGTTATTTTGGGCCTTGGTCACCCCTCCTATGAGATTAGGATGGTAGTATCTTTTAGGGAGGAAAATAGAGGACTGACCAATGACCTCATAAAATCTTCTACTCTGAAAGTACTGTCCCTTGGAAAGCATCACTATGTCTGCCCACTGAAGCAAAGAAGGCTATCAGAATGTTCTGCACTCACATTCCAAGGTAGATAGGGGACAAGGTAACTGGAACACCAACTCTATCTCAGACTGAGCCTTTCTGGAAGGCTCTTCTGACAGCCTCAAATACAATCAAGGATTCCAGAAATATTCAGAAAGCTTTTAGTGTCTACCACATAATGGTGGTACACATCCAGAGCATCACTGGCCCTCACCCCAGGTATACCTCTCTTCCTCTTCTATAACCAAGTAGACATTGTCCCTAAACACCAACTGGAGATGGGTATACTTCCATGTCAAAAAGGCTGTGGAATGGCTATGGAACAGCTCACCAGGATCAACAGATCCACCTGTACCACACAAATCTCGGACATCAAGGAGGGAGAAGAAATGGAAAGGTGTCCTCTATTTATGAAGGACTGAACATAATTCTTTTCAAGCCCTATGCCAAACTTTCCATCTTGTCTTTCAAGGAATCCCAGACCCATGCAATCGTAGCTGAGAATAGCATTATCTGTCCCAGGAGAATAAAAGTGTGGGTCCAAAGCATGGTGAGTGTTTAAGTCTCCTGGCAGCACACAGATCCCAGCCACAAGCCAAGGATGTCACCAGCTGGTCTCCTCGATGAAAGTGCTCATGCAGAGTATGCTGGAGAGTATGGGAAACAGGACTGGACAGGTAATTTAAATTGTGATATACTAAAGCCCAGGTCTCAGCCATACCACGGGGAGCTCTAGAACTGAGATAACCTGAATGGATATTGGGGCACTAAGCTGTTCTGGTTTATCATAACCATTCACGGCTACAGGCTGCTCTTGAGGCAGGACATGACTCTGAGTGAAGCAGATCTCTTTAGCGAAGCGGGTGCAGGGTCCATGAAGAAAACTCAGAAGTGTTGGCAGCTAACACATCCAGCAGCTAGAGCAAAAGTTCTTAGCCCTGGAAGGGGAAAATCTGGGCAGCGTGAGACAGATTCCACCACGCCCTCCCCTTCCACAGCTTTAATCACTTTGCTTACATAATAATTTCTGAAAAACCACATCAAGCATAATTTCCTCAGAAAACTTGCAAGAGTAAGGATAGTGGGGTGAAATCTAGCCCCCGTTCCAACTGCTACAACTGGTCTCGAGGTCATAAATGATGCTTTTCACCGTCTCCTTTAACCCTCACTCTAGATCTCTCTCACCCTAACCCAACAGAGCAGCTGGTCTAGGTCATCTTCGGTATATTGACTTAGACCCTTCTCACTGATAGATGAGCCCCCGATCATCATGCTGTTCTGAAGATCAGGCTGTGGTGGCTGCTCTCTCATATGCTGTCAAAAGTGGGAGGGAAAATATCAGTCACCTAGGTGCCAAACATACTCATTGAATAAAAGCAGCCCACCTCCACTTGAGGATCAGGATCCAGTACTCCTGTCCAGGTGGTGGCTTCTTCCTCACTTTGTCTGTGGGTTTCTTGGCTTGAAAATCTCGAGAGATAGAATGTGGCCACAGCTGGAGGTTGAGCGAGACACTCTGGAAGCCAAGGTAGAAGCATTCTTCCTCTGGAGTCCAAGACACCTAACTCATACAATCTTGATTTGCAGAAAGAGGAAACACACATTCCCCCAAGTGTGTCAGTATAACTGATAATAAGTGGGGCAATCTTATTTCCACCTTTGATACCTGAATGCAAGGGTTTTTATCTACTGGGGATACAGCATCATCTACTAGTTGATTTATGGTATACAACTTGAATCCTAGAGAACATTGTTTCATTCTTCAAGGGTATTCTTTCCAAGACAGTGCCTCTTCTTGGAAATGTGTCTGCAGTGATGTTATGTGGAAGTCATACCAATGGACCAACACTATAAACTCTCAGTGATTTTGGCTAAAGTACCGGATACAGAATGACAAACTCAGACCTGGAAATTGTGTCTCTTCCAGTTAAGATGAAACATTGCCTTTTTAGGGTAAATGCTGCACAAAGTAATCAAATATATACAGTGCAGCAAATAGCTGGTTGGTGTCCTTGAGAGATAAGGCCACACTAGGGGCTTCACACTGGTCTTTGTAACTAGAAAATTGGAAAGGAATCTACAGCAGTCTTGGTGAGTGGAACCCCTTTGACATAATACAAACCCCTGAAACCATGACTACTTTGTCCATGTTCCCATTGGCCTAGAACAGATATGAGAAGCTAGTCAATGTCAGCTGGCCAAATCATTCTGTTTACTTGGTCATTCGGTGCCTCTCTTGCCTACACCGTGACATGCTCCATAATGACATTTCTGTCAACTACAGACTTCACATATGATGGTGGCCCCATGTAATTACACATTGCTACCACATTCTTACTGCCTCAGTATGTCATGGTTTCTTGACATGGAGTCACCTCCTGGTGATGATGCTATGAACATCGTGGGAATGATAACAAAGAAGTTAGAATATTACATACTTAGTTGATAAAGCAACAGCAGGGTTTGAGAGGACTAAGGCTAATTTTGAAAGAAGTTCTATTGTGGGTAAAATACTATTAAGTGTCACGGAATGCATAGAGAAATCTTCAATGAAAAGAAGAGTTAATTCATGCTGCAAATTTCACTGAAGTCTCTCTGTAGGAAATTGCTACAACTACTCCAGGCTTTGGCAAGAAGCAGGCAAACAGAAACATATCCTTCTCTGCACCAAGATGATCCCAAAGCCAAAAGTTTGAAATGTGGAGGACTGGGCATGTAGCTGACTGGTAGAGCACTTGGCTAGCATACACAGGGTGCTGGGTTTGATCTCTATCACTGCAAAACAAATAGAGGAAAGAAAAACTTGGCAAAATTGAGAGAAAAGTTTGGATCCAACCACAGTGTTGAATTTATTGCTAGCCTGAGGTGGTTCAAATGATCCAAGAATCATTACCCATTACATAATGTAAGAGTGAGTGGTAAGTGTGCAAGTGCTGATGGGAAGGCACCTGAATGATTTTTGGAAATTTTTCATTAGCTGATAGTGGAGAAAAATTATTTGGCAGAACAAATCTAGCCAAAGCAAATGTGGCTAAAT